CCTTGCATATTACCTTTGACCTTTGTATACTGGAGATATTCTGTTGCTCTAGTCTTAAGGATAATCTGGAAATCAAAACTTTAACATGTATCTAACAGTAACTTGTCCCAGCATTTTATCATTATAGCTCAAAATAACATAATGTCTGTTTGGATTTTAACAACTGGGAAAAGCTGAGAAATGCTCCTGGTTAGAAGCCTTTCCAAAAGTATCTGATTAGGCTGGAGTTGTGCTTTCTGTAAAGTGAAGCAGTGTAATCCTTCCAGCATTACATGAAGAGTTATTTGAGTGTTTTATCCTATGGGCTTTCTGCTTATGCCAAGCAGAGTAATTCCTTTTGTGTAAAAGTGATTTTGAAGATTAGGAATGAACAGAATGGGTACACATGGATTTATGAGTATTTAAAAATAATTTTTAGATGTCTTTGCATGTACACACTTAAAAAATAAAAAGGAGATATCTCACTTGTTCTTGATAAATTGCCTTAGGAGAAAGACATAAATGCTTGTGTCCTTGATTGAGACTTTGGTGAGTCTGACAAGAGGTTTTAGGTCTCTCTGGGAACTACAACAAACCTTTAGTACCTTATTTCAGGAAAAAATCCTTAGCCTATGAAGCTCATGGTCTTCATTGCATGTTAACCTCTCTTTAGACATGAAAACATATCACAGACCCAGAGCTATTGCCATAGCAGGCAATGAGCTCAGAGCTGATCAGAAATGCCAGACCCAAGAGGCAGTGGTCTCCCTCCTGGATGTATGAGTAAGAGCCAAAACCAAGCCCCTGAATCCTTGTGTCTGCTGTATTGGTCCCTGTACTGGAAACACAAGAGTGTGTTTGTGTGTGTGCACATTTCCTTACATGTACATAATTCAAGTTAATTTATTTTGTGCTTTGATAGATAGCATCCTCCCAGTCATAAAGCCAGAAACCAAGCTAGGTATTTCAGGCAGGAAGGGATTTAGTAAAAGGATCTGGGTTTGAGTTGTTTTGGAAGGCTAGTAAAGCACAGAGGAGAGAGATCAAGAAGGACAGCACCTGTAGAGCCCTTGCTCTGCCCTTGCCCTGTTACCCCACGCATTACAGAGCCAGCATTCCTTTGCTCCCATGTGGATGGGGGAGTGGTTAGAAATGCTGACTGACATCTACAGCCACCAGCCACTGTTGTCACTGCCACTATTAGAGCTGGAACTGCTACCACATCCAGAAGCAGAATCACCACTACCTCCTTCTTGTTTTCTGATCTTGCACTTAGTCTCCCCTCCCCCACTAGCAGAACCTAAATAGAACCTTGTGGGCAGAGGATTCTGGGAAATGTAGTTTCCACACCTCCAGCTCCTGGGCTGCAGAACAAAACACAGAGAGCTGACAGTACTATGTAGCCCAGACGGTATCATAGTATTTTAGATAATGTTATTGCAGAACTTTAACCACTTGGACATTTATTTTCAGTTAAAACATGAAAAATGTTTATTTTAATATGAAGTATAAAAAATTCTTTTTGACAGTTTCTCTTATGGGAGAATGAAAAAGATAATCAGTGTTATGTTAAAGAATATTTTGTGTATTTAAAGACTATGGGAGGGATATTTTAATTCATACAATTCAAAAGCAGCTGAACAAATGCACTGAAAGGATAGCTTTTGCTGGGCCTCGCTATGTCATCAGTGAAAAGCTTTCCTGCCTCCCTGGCTAATCTGAAGTCCGGCTGCTCTTTGGGAATTTCTATTTGACACTGGCTGCTACTTTTCTGAAGCAAAATGTTTTCTCTGGCAGTTAAATTGCCTGTTTGGTTTCTGAGATGTGATATACTTTTATTCTTAGTGCATTTTTTTTATTCTTAGTGCATTCTTTCGTGTGTTTGCTTTTATGAAGTTTGTATCTTAATTCCAGTGTAGCTAACATACAGTGTTATGTAACTGTCCGTAGACAATATGATGGTTCAGCAGTTCCATACATCACTGTTACTCAACATAACAGGTGTCCTTCTTCATCCCCATCACCTATTTCCCCCATCCCTCCACCCATCTCCCCTCTGGTAACCACAGGTTTGTTATCTAGAGTTAAGAGTTTGTTTCTTGGTTTGTCTCTCTCTCTCTTTCTGTTTTGTTTCTTAAATTCCATACATGAGTAAAATCATGAGGCATTTGTCTTGCTCTGATTGACTTATTTTGCTTACCATTATACTCTCTAGCTCCATCCATGTTGTTGCAAATGGCAAGGTTTCATTCTTTTTTATGGCTGCGTAATATTCCGTTGTGTATGTATACCACATCTTCTTTATCCATTCACCTATTAGTGGACTTGGGCTGCTTCCATAGTTTGGCTATTATAAATAATGCTGCAATAAACATTGGGGTTTATATATTCTTTTCAATTAGTGTTTTTGGATTTTTTGGGTAGATACATAGTAGTGAATTACTGGATGAAAAGGTAGTTCTACTTTGAACTTTTTGAGGAACCTCCACACTCCTTTCCATAGTGGCTGCACCAGTTTGCATTCCCACCAAGAGGGTTCCTTTTTCTTTACATCTTTGCCAACACTTGTTTCTTGTGTTTTTGATTTTAGCCATTCTGACAGGTGTGAGGTGATATCTCATTGTGGTTTTAAATTGCATTTCCCTGATGATGAGTGATGTTGAACATCTTTTCATGTGTCTATTGGTCATCTGGATGTCTTCTTTCTTTCTTTCTTTATTTTGGATGTGTGTTCATGTCTTCTGCTCATTTTTATAATTTTAAAAAAAATTTTTAAAAGATTTATCTATCTGAGAGAGAGAGAGAGAGAGCGTGCAAGCGAGCTCAGGGGAAGGGGCAGATGGATAGAGAGAAGCAGACTTTCCTCTGAATGTGGAGCCTGATGTGGGGCTCAATCCCACAACCCTGAGATCATGATCTCAGGTGAGGTCAAAGACTTAACGGACGGACGCACCCAAGTGCCCCCCGTGTCTTCTGCTCATTTTTTAAATTGGATTATTTGTTCTTGGGTTTTGAGTTTTATAAGTTTTATGTATATTTTGGGTATTAACCCTTTATCGGATATGTCATTTGCAAATATCTTCTCCCATTCTGTAAGTTGCCTTTTAGTTTCGTTGATTGTTTCCTTTGCTGTGCAGAAGCTTTTTATTTTGATGAAGTCCCAATAGTTTATTTTTGCTTGTATTTCTCTTGCCTCAGGAGACACATCTACAAAAATGTTGCTATAGCCAATGTCAGAGAAATTACTGCCTGTGTTTTCTTCTAGAATTTTTATGGTTTCAGGTCTCACGTTTAGGTCCTTAATCCATTTTTAGTTTATTTTTGTATATGGTGTAAAAAAGCCATCCAGTTTCATTCTTTGGTGTGTGGCTGTCCTCTAATTGTATTCTCTATACATTTAATTCCAATGGGAAATTATTTAAGATAATTAATCATCTGCAAGTTTACTTAAAATAAAATTGTTGGGCCCTGAGAAAACAGTACCTAAATGGATGATAAAACTCCTTTAAATGACCACAGTTCCTACTAACGTGTGTATATGTAAATCTTTTTTACTTTTTTAATCTCTGTAAGTCTTTCCAGCAACTCTGTGAGGTGGGCTAGCTACTCATGCTCCTGTTTTTTTTTCCAGTTGTGTTAAGTGACAGATCATTAGCCGTAAAACCAAGACAAGAAGTTGGGTTCCATAAATAAGTGTGACAGTTTGCTTATGAATGTGTATTTACTAATGGTCTTCAAGCTGGGGCGAGCTTGCCATTTGGAGGTACACAAAGACAGTCACAGGGTGGGGCATCAGGGTACTTTGAAGCGAATCCATTGCCAAGAGCCTCAGCTCCTATAGGTCCAAAACGGATCTTCCTGAGTACAATGAAGATTGAGGTCCTTTTTCCTAATGAACTTCTCCCACTTTGCTAAAGGAATCCTACCTCTCTCCTGCCCCTCTGTGATGCACTAACACGAGGTTTAAAAACCTGTGGGGAACCAAACAACAGGACAGTTTGGACTGTTAGTTTGGGTAGTAAGAAGATAATGAAGAAAGTAAATTACCTTAGTGTTTTATGAAACAACTTTTTGTAAGTGTGGTGTAGCAAAATTATAGGAGAACTTAAATAGCCTGTGAGTTAACAGAAAAGCAAAACTAATTTTAATGATAGATTGCTGTGTGAGTCTCAGCATGTACCTGAGAAGGAGCCAGAAGAACTGAGTGATGTTGCTTTAACTAAACTCTCTCCATTCTCATTAATTTACTTAGACAAACAAATTTTCCTGGCACACAAATTTTTAAAAATGAAAAAAGGGAACAGAATTGATGTTTAGCTTTAACTGGTTCTGGTAATAAACAATGTCCCTCTGCAGATTACATGAACTAGCTGGAAAACCCCAGCCTTTCTTAACATTCTTCTAGAAATACAGAGGTACATTTCCAACAAAATGTTATTCCCGTGCAATAAATCTTTTTCAAAATTCCTCATATTTTGTGTTTGCATCCACTGTGGTCTAATAACTGTAATTATAACCCAATGAGAAAGGATGCGGATATTTAGAGACAATGTCACAGGGAAAATTTTTTAATTGAATGTCAATTTATGTACATAATTTTTACACACAGAAGTATTTATTTACCTCACCATTAATGCAATACACATTAATGCAAAATACAATAAAACATTTTCTACTTATAGTATTAGGATGTAAGTATGTGGGCACAAAAATAAGAATTCAAAGAGAAAAAATAATTGACTTCAGATTGAGAATATTAAATACCTTGCTTTTACGGGGTGATGGTGGCTGGCCAATGGCTCCAGTATTTAGACTGTTGGATACAGTGAATTACATCTTTGGCTGTTATTGAAACTGACAAAACATTTATATACCAGTATAAGAATATGCATGTGATACATTTAAGAGTTTTAAGGAGTGTTTGGGCAAATGTTTAACGATCACTGACTGGGACAGAAGATCAAGTGTCTTGAGGATAAGCAGGGTCACATATCTCCTGTGTATTTGCTTTGTTTCCCCAGTTTGACCTCGTGTGTGGCAATGCTTGGATGCTGGACCTCACACAAGCCATCCTAAACCTGGGCTTCTTGGCTGGAGCCTTCACCTTGGGCTATGCTGCAGACAGGTAGGCACAGGTGTGATAACCATTGACAGCACTAGAACATGATGCACACGTGTGGAGGTGGAAATGTTTGATGTTAACCATTAGAAAACAATTTCTGCTAAACTTGGAAAAAGTCTTAATTTTAGTACTTGTGACATTCATGCTTATTTGGTTGGACTAATTCTCTCCTTGTTCAACTCCATCTCCTTACTCCTTGAACTACACAAATGGATGGAGCTGCTCCCAGTGGGTCTGCAAGCATCGGAATAGAAACCCACACCAGAAAGGCAGTCGCTTCATTGTGGGGCAGATGCTGGCTGGCCAAACACTGGAGAGTCGATTCTGTGTGCTTCCATAACTCTCTGGTTGTGGCCTGATTAATTTAGCCAGAGTCTGCCCCTTCCAAATACGTTTCACTTAATGATTTTTAAAGAAATCCTTGTATTTTATTCTACAAGTTAAAAACCCTGCAAAAAAAAGTTTTTCCAAAGACCATTAAAAGAATTTTATCTATCATTTAATATTCATAAATATACCAGTTAATGGCAGGTAAGATAAGTGTGTATACTGAGGAGAGTCATAATTTTTATTCAAATATTGTTTGAAACATTATTTTTTTTGTTTGAAACATTATTGATGTTGGTTATTGTATTCATTCCTTTCCTTTATCCCAATTCTAACTATGAAAATATGTGCAGTAATTTACTCCTTCTATGTCCCTTAGAACAGGAGTAGGAAGCTTTGGCTATTGGCCAAATCTGGCTAATTGTCGCTTTGGCCAGGCTAGCCCAGCCCAGGTGGGTCCTTGTGACCATGCTCGCGGTGCGCAGTGCTGAGGGTATGTCTTGGAGAACTGCCCACTGCTATTAATTAGCTCATTGGAGACAATAAAAATGCCCCAAATGCTTTAGCCAATAGATGGTCTGCATGTAACCAGACCGGGACTTCAGAGCAGGTAGAACCCTTGGTTTCTTTTTCTGCTCCTTCATCTCTCAGTTTTCTCTTGCAGCCCCCTGACACCCTCTTCTGCATGTGACTTTCTCCTTCTCTCTTTTTCTCTCCTTCTCTCTCTCTCTTCTTTCTCCTGCTTCTCTCTCACAATCAGCTAACATATTCTCCAAAGAAAAGTAACTCAACTAAAGGAGGGAGGGCTTTTCCCTTCTGTGTCCCAGCAGGGGACTGAGTGGCTGTCCTCAGAGATGACTCAGCGCTTTGGAGAGGAGGACAGTCCCATGAATGAGTTTGCCTCACCGCCGGGCAGCCATCCGTCGGCTCCTTCTCTTCTTCATGTCATTGAAGGAAAGGACAAGAAACAATTTAATAGACCACATAGCTAAGAGAGGACAGTGTAGGAAGGATAGATGGTGAATTTCAAAACCTAGATAAACCAGGACTACTTCTGTCTCCACTCCACTGACCAAAGCAAGTTGCTGCATATGTGAATTTGGTGGGAATTTCTATGGGAAAAAAATTTTTTTCAAATCTCTGAAAGGTCATGGATAACAGACTTCCACCAGCCAATAATTTGGCACAACTATACCGAACCACTTAATATCAGAATCCCAGAATATGGCACATAACGATCTGTGCCCCTTGTCTATGCTTCTAACCATAGTTATGTAAATGGTGAGGATAAAATGCCGGACTTAAGAAGAGCTCACATTGTTCATGAAGTTCATAGTTTGTAAGGAGCTAGACATCAGCAACTCATTTGAGCCTCTACACCCTCATTGTAGAAGGGGGTGGGGGGGCAACCCACAAGCAAACCAACAAAATCTGAGTCTTGGATTGTTGAAGACATGGACCCAAGGTTGCAGGGCTGGCTGTTGATTGAGCCAAAACTGAAGCCTGGGCCTGGAGCCTTCTCCCTTTCCCCTTCCCACCCCACTCACAAAAATGCTATAAAGTGTTCAGGCTGTGCCACTGGGGGCACCGGACATGGTGGAGAGCAGCATCTTTCTGGAAATTGCAATCCCGAAGATTGTATTCTGTGCCTTACATTTTGTCATGTCATTTCAGACACACATGTTCTTATTTGCCCTGGTTTTGCTATAAAACAAAACATAGAATTTTCAGCAATCCTGTGCCTGGTAGTAATGTAGTCTTAAAAACAAAATTTTTGTTTAAACCTCTTTTAACAACACTTCTAATGATAGTCTTTCTCATTGTGCCGAAGGAAACGTTGAAGGTGACTTCTTCCTCTCTCTTTCCCAAAAAGGTACGGCAGACTAGTCATTTACCTAATCTCCTGTTTCGGTGTCGGCGTCACCGGTGTTGTGGTGGCATTTGCACCCAATTTCCCTGTGTTTGTGGTCTTCCGCTTCCTACAAGGTGTGTTTGGAAAAGGGACATGGATGACCTGCTACGTGATTGGTAAGACATGGCTATGCCTCTGTCTCTCTGGGACAGCCAGGGGCAGGTGGCTGGGCGGTGCCGGCCAGTCAGCCCTCCTGGGGCTCGTAGGCGGAGGCTTGGCGGCTGCCACAGTAATGATCTCTGCAAATAAGAAGGTGTGGGGGTGAGATTCTGACTCTTGGGAAACTAAACACCACCTTGCCAAATATGGAATATCACAAAGTACTTGGGTGAACCAACCACTTTCTAGCATGACCATACACTAACACCTTACTGCTTTGCTTTATCAGAGTTCAATTTTTATAAAAATTTCAGCGGTTCTTAAAACACTTTTAATATGCATTTTCTGTGTATTTCTGTGATAGGGTTTGAGATGACATTCCTGTGTTCTCAGATACTATTTCTTAATTCTGCTCCTTTTGCTCAAGTGGAGAACTTTTTACCATGAAGGAGATCTGACCTAAAAACGTAACTAGAAAGTTTGACCTTCAGGGTATGAAATAAAGAATAAATTTCCATTGCTCTTTGCTCATTTTACTGAGAAAAGTCCTGGCTGCTACTTTGGTTCTGTCTCTGGTGAGGTTCAGGACCAGCTACCTACTCTGAGGGTCACGGTGGATTTGTGAGTAGGGAGATGCAAAAGCTTGTTTTTGATTATTGCTCCAGATCATTAGGCTTCTAGTCCCTTTCATTACTACTAGACAGTTCATCCCCAAGCAGTGCCTACTTTGGGGACCCTCTGAAGATCTTTTTGTGGGGAAGGAGAGAGAGTGCTGGGAGGTTGCCTATCGCCGGCTGGGGCAGAAGGGATAACTTTGGAATGTGAAGTATTTTTAAGGAAATTTTTAAAGTTGTGATCTTAGGGCACCACTAAGGTAGCACATCCCAGGATCGTCAGAATAGAATGAATGACAAATAGAAAAGGATAAGTTTGGGGGGATAGAGGTGGGAAAAGGTATGCAGTAAAATCCCCCATGTGATTTTTAAAGAAATATCACATAAATGGAAAGTCCAGTGCTGTGGGGAGAATTATCATTGAATAGAAACTATGTGGTGATCTTGAAAAAATTATTTGTAGGGTTATAATGCTCATAAATGCTTACAAATAATCTCCTAAGGAGACTACAATAGGCAAATCTTTAGAACTACCGTGATAGAAAGCTAGCCAGTTGATTCTAGTTCTGTGTTGATAAAATCGTCATCACTTAAGCTTTCCTAAAGTCAACACATATGTTCTTTGTATACCCAGAAGAGTGCTGGCCTGGGTGTGCGGGATGAGCGTGGCACACGCTTGCCAATAACTGGCAGAGGAGAGAGTGAGCAGAAAGCATAGTGCCAGCACGTAGGGAAGCCATGGTACCTTTCAGAGTTTGGTAGCATTCTAGCAATACCAATGGATATGACAGATGTAATGTCTCTGCTTGTTTATTTTGGAGCTGATCTTCAGCTTCCCTAACCTCTGTGTTTGTTTTCCTTCAGTAACAGAAATAGTAGGTTCAAAGCAAAGGAGAATTGTGGGAATAGTGGTCCAAATGTTCTTCACCCTTGGAATCATAATTCTTCCTGGAATTGCCTACTTTATCCCAAATTGGCAAGGGATCCAGCTAGCCATAACGCTGCCCGGCTTTCTCTTCCTCCTTTATTACTGGTAAAGTGGTTTTGGTCATTATTGAATTTATTCTTATTCCAAAGAATTGTAGAGTCTGCACTTCTAAACCACCATGAAAATGAAAGCAACTGAGATTTCCTAACATCTCCAGAGGGACTATGGGCTTTGAGTATTTCTAGAGAATTGAGAATTTATAGAGATTATTGACTCATAGTTGTTATTAAAACAAATTAACAAAGTATCCAAGCAGAAAATCTAAATAAAGTATTAATTATGTTTTATTATTTTGTAATATCTTCTTGAACACTATAAGGCAACATACAATATCTGCCAATATTTCAACATGCAAATTAAATGCAATGAAAATGATTTGCTTCTCTGTGTGTTCTATTAAGCAAATTAATATTATTTGGGAATCTCCTGAGGAATATGAAAATGTTAAGAGCATGAGAAAATTAAGTTATCAGAAAACTACAGGTTATATGCATTTGACTCTTATTGTAGTGAATGTATTCTGATCATTCCTCTAATTTAATTTTAATATATGGGGCAATCAGTTTACATGAATAGGGTCTTCATCTTTTCCTAAATGCTCATTAAATCCCAGCTCTTTTCGTAATGTATAATCAAGGACACTGTGTTCTAGGACAGCCTGGTTTTACAAGAGCAATGCAATATTGATTATTTTTATTACGACCAATGATTCAGTTATCAACTGAGCATTTTTCCCTTCCATTATAAAATTTTTGAGATAATTTATGTTGCAGAGAGACTATTCTAAACTCTCAGAATCTCCTAAACTTGTACCTAATCATGAGATCCATTTTGGTAGAGAAATTCAAGCCATTAACTTTTAGGTGTTGAAATTACTAGACAAAACTCAAAAAAGTCCTCTTCTTGCCAGGGTGGTTCCTGAGTCTCCCCGCTGGCTGATTACACGGAAGAAAGGAGATAAAGCATTAAAAATCCTGAGGAGCATTGCCAAGTGCAATGGGAAATATCTCTCACCGAATTACTCAGAGGTAATCTTACTTATTACTAGTAAGAAGCATTATTAAAGTGGGTGAATTGATTTGTCCCTAATGTACATATTATCAAGGAGCTGACTGAGTCATTTTTAGTTTGGCTTTAAAAAGGGAGAAAAGAAAAACCTTTGGGAAGAATCACAAGGTGCATTAAAGAAGACATGGTTGTGAAATTGTGATAGCACCAGAATGAAGGCCAGCTGGTCCCTTGGTCCATGTTTCAACAGTTGCACCACGTTCCTTGGATAATTACACTTACTGTGTATTTACTTACTGTGGCTCCATATTATGAAGTCATTCATTCATCTTAATTTGCACAAACTATACATCTTTTCTTGACATTCAGGGTAGTCTAAAGATTTGTCTTTAAATGTAATCTTGGAAGTACTATTTGTTTGAATGAAAGCATGAGCAATGATGTAATATTCAGCCTTCAGACTTACACGTGCTGCTGGCCTACCTTCCCCCCCCATTTTCTTCCTCCATTTTTTTTTCTTCTTCTTTTTCCCAGCAAAGGCTTTTTTGATGTTTCTGTACCACTACACTAAGAGAAATGAGGGACTCAAGTTCATTCTTTGCTCTTGGGAAGATTTGCTATGCCTTTGAAGACATAGAGATATATCTGAGGCCACACCTGAATAATTAGAAAATAATATATAAAAATATACATCAGTGCTTTACTGCAAAGGCAAAGTAACAGAAGGATTATTATAAAATGAATATTAGAGAACAATTTTTGGAAGATATGAATCTTTGATGAAAACCTTAAAGAATGTTAGGTTGCTAACATCAGGTTTTTTTGTACCACTCAGCTGGTTTTGCTAGAACATTCTGATAAAAGAAAAATAAGCTTTGTTAGTTTTCTTGTCACATCCCCAACCTTCCAGAACTTGGCCAGAGAGATTTGGGTTTCTACCTTTTTCCTTCACTCTTATATTCAGTGGCAAGCTGTAACCTCTGTATTTACAGAGGTTTCAACTGATCAGTTGACATTGGATTATAAGGATATGCCTTAGGGTTTGCAGATCATGCATACACAGTGCAGTAAAGGTTAAAACATGATCTGTTTTAACCATGAAGATGAGTCGATCCTTGTTCTTTGAACATATTTGGGCTGTGGATTCCTTTTATGGAAAAAATATCCTGCTGCCTTCTGCCCTTGGTCTCATCACATTAACCTTGGTCTTCACAACTGGATCAAATGTCTGATAATCTGCACTCAGTTTCATGGTCAAATAAATATTTTTGCTTTTCATTCAGCAGTATCCTGAAGACATTACATGCGTAATCCCAGAGCTAAGCATATGTCAGATCAACATCAAGGTTTTAAAAATAGAGAAAAAAACAGTGTGTGCTGGTGGCTTAGGAAGGCAAATAAATACCACTTAACTAGGCATGCGGTGTGTTGTCGTGAGTACTGCTGAGTGGTCACAGGATGATTCCCAGAAGCAGCTGCTCTTACGTCCCCGAGTGTCTAGTTCAACGCTGCTCCCCTACACCCACAGACCCACTTCTAATTCACAAGCACTCTAGAGACATTTCAGCGGGGAAGCAGTTCAAGGCTCGACATGGTTGTGCTCGTGAAAGATCATGAACAGTGGATCCCGTGGCCTCCAAGATGTGTTAACTCTGGTTTTAAGCAGTTAAATGATCCCCATTTGAAAGTCAGGTTTGAAGTCAGACATGAGTTTCTCTTGGGAGTTCAGCACCCAAGCCACCACTATGCCTGAGGATTGCATACTGTGATGGGCTGATAAACCTCTTTGGTTTTTAGTCTGTAGGTTCCTGTTTTCTTTTCCTTGCAACCTTGGGGGTAAAGAATGTTAGGGTTTCTTTTTGGCTTTTTTTCTGTAGACTTTTCTGCAGTCTAAATTAGGGTTAATTTTATCCTTAAGATCCTTTAACATGACCCTCCATCTCTTGTGTTCTCTGTCAGTCGGCAGGTAGATCTAGACGTAAATCAGGTTTAGATGTGATACTTTAGGCAATCCTCCTTCGTAACTGACTTAGTACATTTCCATTAAGAAACATCTCATGTCTTCCCGTCTCTTCTTCTGTGGTGTAAGCTGCCATGGATCATTGTTGCCTGCATTTATTAATTCATCAGAGGTTGCAAATGACAATATTGATAATATTCCCACTTTATCATTATGTCTTCATTTGTTACTGGAATACTTACATAAAGACTAACTTCTCCCATCATTTGTTTGGTCACTCTGAGCTACAGTTCTTACAGGAAAGGCAGGATACATGTGTAATTCTTTCTTTCTTTTCAAAATAATGAGTTGGTTCCCTGCATTCTCCAACAGCAATCAATGACTTGTGTGTTGTGGGGTTTTTTGATGCCTCCTTCTGAATGCCTGGATTTAAACCTATAATTCACTCTTTCACAGGTTTTGTTATTTTCCTTATTGGTGCTCAAATTGCCCCATCTTTGGACCAACAAGTCTCCTCTTTGATGGTTCTGGGGTCCTTCTGTCACACCCCTAGGAGTTCCAGAATGCTTCTTTGCTTCTTAGCATGATGATATTTTCCAGGCTTATCTTGTAGGGTCTTACTCTTGGAATCACCTAATTCTCAAAGGGTGCTTTGGGTTTTGGACCTATCCATCTTCAACTTTTTAAACTGTAGAACATAAGCAGAAAAGCCAAGTATTGTCTTCAAAAAGAGAAGGAATTAACATTTCAGTTTAAAACCCCTTGCTAATAGCAGAAGTCAGTCAAATTATAGGCTAAACCATGATTTTCTATTTCAGGGATCCCAGTGTTCCCACAAAGAATAATAATGTGCAAATCACCTCTTTACAGTACTCAGAAGTACTGACCAATAGTGCAGGCATTGCACCCCAATGCCAAAATCAGTCCTATTATGACTTCTGCATACCACTATCAATTACTCACTTTTGGTGACTCAACTAACTAATTGACCACATCAATGTTAGGGTCGTCTTGAAACCTTGTGTCTATGTAGTCACTTCGAACCTTCTGCATCCTTTGCTGCCTTAGCTGGTACCCCCGCTTCTGGATATAACATCAAGGGCTCCCATGCTCAAGGCTAATTATCCAGTGCTCTGCCTTTACGTGTCATAGAACCTCTTTTCAATAAATCGTGACTTTTGAGAGGAGTTATTGTCATGTAAGTTACCACATCCTCCAAGACCGGTCCAAATCCCACCTCATCCTACATGTTGATCACCACATCACAGATTGCCGTGAGGCTGGAAGGAAGTGGAAAGGATCTGCTTGATGCACATGGGAGGCCTGGCAGTGATGCTGTCTTTCTTAGCCACCTCCCAACCCCAGCCTGTTCCATCCCTGGTACCAGAGATCCTCATCTATTTTAGGGGGGGATCAAAAGCCCTAGCTTAAATTGACGCTCTATATTACAGAAGAGAACCTAAATTCACCACAATCTAGGGCTACACTGGTCCCTTGGGCTTTGTGAATAGAAGGAGGATATGGGAAGAAATAGGTATGATGGATTTCATTGCAACATTCAACCAGGTGGGTTATTCTGAGGGTTGGCCGCCCAGCAAATAATCTCAGTTATATTTCATATGGATGTTACTCGTTTCATGGGCAAATAAACTCTGGATGTTTGTCTCACTTGTCCCTAGGCTTCCATTTGCCAAAATTCCCAGCTAGCTTCTGACTTTGTTGAAGCCACAGCTAGAAGCTAGAAACACAGGTGATGAGAACGTCAGACTCTCTGAATATACCAACAGTGTAACTATTATTCCCTGATGAGAAAAGTCCAAAAATGTAAAATCAATGCCAATGAGGCAGGTGGGTGGAACTTAGAGGAAGTTGAAGAAATACAGAAAAATGGAAAGAATCAATGTGTATAGAAACTGGAAAGAATCGAAGGATGGGCTGAGTGTCAAACACTAGGCAGTGACCCAATGCAGAAGGACACTTAGCTTAGATACGTGCACGGGCGCCTTTGCAATGTTTAAGGCACACTTGAAAAAATAAAAGCAAACTATTAGCAGGTCAACAGTCCTTACAGCCCAGGCACAACTGTAGCACAGCAGTGTGTCCTGAGGCCTCCAGAGCATCCTCAGGCATCCACAAGCATCCTCTGACCCGGGGAGCATGTTGGTGATAGCACTGTTTCCTGCCATGGTGGTCCCCACAGATTTGCTCATAAGGTAAAGTTCTTACATGTTGCAGTTAAGTTTTTCTTTAGCATCAGTTTGACATTACTTCCTCCCTGTTACCTGGAGTGCGCTGGTTCTTGCCTCACACCTAGTAAGTTACCAATCAGTCCGACTTTCCACGCTCACCCGGCGCCATGTATATGATTGAACAATGCATTGCATGATGATGCTGGTCTGAAGAGATAGCCATTGCCCTAAAAACTGAATGTGTATTTCTCAAAGTAGATGAGAAAGTGGGCAAGTAATTAAGAGTGCTCAGGCTTTAGATCGTAGTAGACTAGATCTCTGGGTTTAAGTAGTGGAGAGCTGGGGTTGTTGCTCAGGGACTTTTCCTTATCATGAAGTGGTGCTGTGACAGATGCGTTGTTGTTCCCAGATCTTCAACCCATTTTGTAGGAGGATCCCACACCCCCTCTCATGGCCGTGGGACTCACAGCAGTGTGCCTCTGCAGGCAGGCGGATTTTCCCCACTGAGTCAGGCTCAGCCGTCTGACTTGCTGGTCTGAGGCACCAGTTCAGAGCAGAAGCTGTAAAGGCATCATGCGTTTCTGACGTTCTCTTGCCCTTTCCATCTCCCACAAGAATAGCATACCCTAAATTGGTGGTGTTCCTTCAGCATGGGTCTCGGAATGAGAAGAGCCACAACTTGGAAAAGAGCTACAGAAGCTGACCTAGAGCGGCCACGTGGAATGTGGCCAAGAAATAACCGTTTTCTCAGTAAACTACAGTCTGCTAAATGTGTCTCCGTGTGTTTCGGAGATTGGAGGGTGTTTGTTTTTGTGGCCAAAGCTAACTAATATAGCTGATCCTAACGGCATTGCTTCAATTGCCAGGGTAG